ATAGTATATAAACACTGTCTTTGTGGTATGTTTAAGAGCAAGTTTTAATATGGACGATGACATAACACTGTGCATATGTTTGTATTTGTCTCTTTGGTGTTTCCTCACAATGCATTACAAATATTTCGATGGACAAAAGATGTAGAACAACAAATTGGCCAAAAGAGGGAGGCCTCATGTTGCTAAAATATAAAGGCACTAGATTCAACAGAGCACAACACATGGAGTAGGCAAGATGCCCAGATATAAGGATGTTTATGGGTTATACACACACACACACACACACACACACACACACACACAAAACCCTCTGTGCGGAGTTTGCATGTTCTTCCCGTGTCAGTGTGGGTTTCCTCTGGGTACTCCGAGCTTCCTCCCACAGTCCAAAGACATGCAGGTTAACTGGTGGCTCTAAATTGTCTGTAGGTGTAAATGTGAGTGTGAATGGTTGTCTCTCTCTATGTGTCAGCCCTGTGATAATCTGGTGACCAAGGTCCAAGGTGTACCCTGCCTCTCACCCAATGTCAGCTGGGATAGGCTCCAGCCCCTGCTTCTCTCTCTCACCTGCTACTGGTAAATTTCCATTCACCTGCACCCTGCAAGCCAGCCACGCCCCCCTTATCAAGACAACTCCTCTAACCTGCCTCCACAGCTGCAGCTCATCAGCCTGGTATAAAAGTCTCTCCAGCACACACGCTCTTTGCCAGATTGTGTTTCAACCTCATGCAAGACTTTCCAGTACTCCTTACCTGCCTACGTCATCTGTTTCCCAGTAAACTCACCGACTTACCGGCCTTCTGTCCCTCACCACAAGTTCTGCTTCAGTGTCTCTGGTTTCCATCTGCTTGTGGCTGTGTGGTGTTTTCCTGCCACAACGTTTCAGCAGGAGTGCTTTCACCTACCTGTCTGCCCCAGAACCCAGAGACTGTGTGTGGGCTCGGAGCCCGAAGAATGAACTTTTAAATGAATATCTTCGTCGGCTCAAGTTTCTGTTTATTCTGTGTTCAAATAAAGGTCATTACCAACGGTCACCAAGTGCTGCATTTGGGTTCAGTCACATTCGTTACATAAGTGTATGTATATATGTAGTAACTAATCATAACCCTAAGAGAAACTGCTTTGGTGTTTTTCAATAAGAGCGGAGATGAACTTATCAGTATCTTATAATGGTCTAATTATATCTGTAAATCTATGTTTTCTCTTAGTTATGTCAACAACTGATGCAAGTTAGCATTAACATAAATACATAAATAAAATCTACTACTACCAGGCATCACTATTAACACAATACATCTTTCTGCCACAACACCACAAGGTCAGTGTTTTTTTGTCTCCTCTTCAGATTTAAATGTGCATTCATCTGCAAAAAAAAAAAAGAAAATATGAATTGAATAAGTGAAACAACCATCATGATGGTTTATTGACTGCATATGAATGGCTAACTTTAGGTCGGTGTAAAACTCAAACAACATCACCAGGTTATCCATTAATCTTGAGTCCAGTCACATTTTAAACAACAGGGAGGTTTAAATTGTTTCCACTTCCTTATATGTGTCTTGATTTCCTCATGAACTTGATTAACTTCTTCAACAGTAAAATCTATATCTGTGGCTTACAGCTGCACCTGAGAGGGCATTAGAGCATTAAGGATTCATTTCCCCCTCATCAATCAACAACCAACAGGATTTTAGGAATTCTTGCAAACTTATCAAAAAGGAAGAAAATAACTCTGCACCTCCTCAAGCTGATCCAGGGACAGTAATTTTCAGGTCTCCCCAGAGAGACATTCACAGAGTTGTCGCTATACTACCTGTGCTGTGTTGTGTTGTGTTGGGTAATTGTCCTGTTGGAAAGTAGACACACTATGTTACACACACACACTGATTACATGTACATTCCTCTTTGTCTTGTGGTGTGTGTGGTGCTATGGAAAATGGGAAATTCAATGTTAAAATCATCTTACTAACTGAAAAGTGACTTGCAATTTAACCCAAAACACTATGAAATTTTGCAGTGATGTTTCAGGTGAAATGATAAAATAACCACAGTAACACAATATAAAGCAAATATTCAAATTAATATTTACACAAAAACTTTTCTTTCATTACAAAGTGATTGTCATGTAACTCAGGCTGGATGAACCAACGGGGTAAACAGTAACACCTAGTGGCTGTTTTCAAACATGACAGCAGAGCACCAATGACGCTGCAGTTATTTTGCACCACTCAATTAACCACAGATGTCAGACTGAACATTACCTTAACTTGGTAATTTGACACTTTGTGCGACTATAAAACCTTAGACACTAGCATAACTCAAAATACAGTCCACTGTGTTAAGTTAATCATGAACAAAGACAAGAATGCATACAGCACACCCAGTTAAAAATGAATGCAGTCTAAACAACCTGCTCATTTATGCCAGTGATTATTGACAACATCCATAATTAATAAACTTCTCTTAGTTGTGTCCTTATGTTTTTTCACAGCAGGTCAGGGCTGTGCAGAGTTTGTTTCCAACCATCACTACACGAGTCAACAATCAGTCACACAGATAGTTCAGATGTACAAATGTGGGGACTGAACAGCCCTTTGGTCAGTTTGCAGTTGCAGACTTCTTTGACTGTGCTTTAAGAATCTTTACTGGCTTCTACACTGAGAAAATGAGAATGTGTTTCATTTTAGAGGGCCTGCTCCGCCTCTGTGGGGTCTCAATTGGTCAAGATGATCGTCAAAGTAATGCTTAACCATTGGTGCAACATGCAACACCTCTATTCTTAGGTAGATATCATACAAGCACATGCTCTGTGTTGTTATGCATGCTTGTTGTGGCTGCCGATGTGCAACCACACAAGTAATTATCTAAACGTGTTTCTTTTTCCATTTCTTTAGAATGTTGTCCAGAGCTTCAGGAGAACGTGAATTTGTATGGAGAAGACATAACATCTCTCTACTCCCGTGATGTAGAACATTGTCAGCAGCTGTCTCTTATTTGCCTTTGTACGGCCTGACCAGAGTGACGACAACAGGTGTGTTACTAAAAATACACACTGAAAATAGAAAATAAAGCTTATATCTGTAAAATTTGATCATAAAAACAAAATCACACCCACTGTGGTTATCAGATACAATTGTAGGTCTGTGTTTTTTTCCTACTTCCAGTTATACACCCCTGAAAGTTACTTATCAGCTTCAAATATGGGT